CATGGGGCATTTAGGGGTCGAACGCACACTGGAACTCATTCGGTCACGTCTCTACTGGCCAAAAATGGCAATTGATGTCAAAAAGAAAGTGAAAGCTTGCGAGAGATGTGTCCGTAGAAAAGCCCTGCCAGATAAGGCTGCTCCTCTGGTAAACATTAAAACTTCCAGGCCCATGGAGCTAGTCTGCATGGACTTCCTCTCAATAGAACCCGACAGTAAAAATACTAAAGATGTCCTAGTGATCACGGATCATTTTACAAAGTATGCTGTGTCCATTCCAACCAAAGACCAGAAAGCCACCACCGTTGCAAAGAACTTATGGGAGAACTTCCTAGTTCATTAAGGCTTTCCAGAGCGACTTCATAGCGATCAAGGGAGAGACTTTGAATCGCGTACAATCAAAGAACTGTGCTCTCTGCTCGGTATCCGCAAAGTCTGAACAAGTCCTTATCATCCTCGTGGCAACCCTGTTGAGCGATACAATCGCATGTTACTCAGTATGCTTGGTACCTTGAAAGACACCGAGAAACATCACTGGCGTGACTTCGTAAAACCACTCACGCTTATAACTGTACAAAAAATGATGTGACAGGCTATTCTCCTTATGAGTTAATGTTTGGTAGACAGCCTCACAATATCAATGGGCAACCTCACTTGCCCATTGATATTGCCTTTGGCCTGCCACAGCCAAACAAGCCACAGCTGACTCACTCTCAATACGTCAAGCAGTTGAAAAGCTACCTCGAACAGAGCTACGAAATAGCCATCAGTTTGACAAAATAATCCGTGAATCCACACTACATGTGGGAGACCGAGTCTTGGTTCGAAATCTCCGCCTGAGAGAGAAGCACAAATTAGCGGACAAATGGGAGCAAACGGTGTATATTGTTACCAAACAGATGGAAAACTTACCAGTATATACTGGAAAACGGAGATGGACCCAACAGAACGCTCCACAGAGATCTGTTACTTCCCTGTGGATTTCTCTCACCAACAGAGCATAAACCCGAGTGAGTCACAAAAACTAACAGACCACGCACAAGACAAAGTTCAGCTTCGGAAGTTGACTCCGACCAAACATTTGAGAAGAGGAAGATGAGTTTTATTACCCTGAACCTCCACAAGTGAAAGACAGACATTTTTACCAAGTATGTACCATACCGCCAACACAAGGATTCAAACAAAACAAATATCCTGTAAATGATAACGAACGATTGCGGATACGGAAGCGGCAGAAATGAGCTTCCTCCGAAGGGTGGCTGGCCTCTCCCTTAGAGATAGGGTGAGAAGTTCGGGCATCCGGGAGGGGCTCAGAGTAGAGCAGCTGCTGCTCCACATC